CAGGTAACGGATGGCGTCTGGGGAGAGATGCCGTATCTTCCATCTGAAGCCAGCTCCAGACAACAGTGTCTGGGGCCGGCAGGAAATTGAAACGAGGGAACAGCCATCAAAAATCTTTCATGCGAGGAAACATTTTTTGCGAGTTTGATATCCTGTGTGCGAGTCTAATGAAAACAGTAAATGGAGTCTCGTGGCTTCTTTGATTGGACCGCTGCCTGTCTGGGCTGGAAGAGGGGCCCAGCCCAGGCTGCGTGGACGGAGGCTGAGGCCACCGCACCCTGGGCCCAGCCCCTGTCCTGTATCCCGTCTCGGCTATTGTTAAACAGGCTGCTGGCAAACAAAGCAGCCGGACGCACAGTAGGGATGTCAGTGATTGTCATCTGAATAGCATACAAAGCAGTTCACTCGGATCAATACTGGGCAACCAGGCACCCGATTTTGAAACCACGATATCCCCACAGCTTTCTATCCCTCTCGAGGTTTCCGCCCGGCGGTTTTCCTGTTTCATTTGTGGCTGGTGTTGGGGATAATGCGGGGAGACCTCAGGAGGTGAAACCGCCTTCTCTGAGGGGGAAGGAGATTGCCTGGGGTATTCCAGCACTTTGATTAAAAAAAACAAAAAAAAAAAACCAGAAACAGAGGTTATGTGCCCCCGTGGGAACAGCTTAATGTGCAAGTAAAAACGTTTCAAGATTTTGCTTCCTCTTTTTACCTAAATGTAGTTTACAGGCAATGCAAATCCTGCTAGGGAGACCCCTCAGCGAGCCTCGTGCGTGCAGTGAGGAGCCGGAGGGCAGCCCCGCCCCAGTCCCGGGCACGGCCATGGGGGCCGCAGCCAGCATCAGCAGATGCTCATTCAGGTTTGTCTGCGTCCATCACAGACCCTCGTTTGAAGAGCTGCGCCGCTGCTCCCAGCAGCTGGGCAGTCTGCATCTGCACCTCCCGGCTCTGCCGTTCATCATCAGCCGTGCTTCTGTTCCCCTTGGCCCGGAGAAGGCTCACTCCACACCAGGCGGCATTGAGAATATACTGCAGTCTCAGAATGATGTTATCTTCTTGTAAAACTTTTCTCCTTAATACTTGTGATTAATGTTTTGTCATCAGGAGGGCTGAGACATGACACTATCACACAGGCAGGATATTTGCTATTTATTCTGAGCTAAACTATTCAAGATTACAAAACTTCATCTCAGACACAGAAGCGACTGTTCGGGATAGCTTATAAAGGAGGCAAGATTGTTTTTGAGATTACTTCCTATGCTGGCCATTCTAAATCTCTGTGGACCCCAAAGGGCTTCCATCCTGGGGTTGCCTGTTCATTCTAAGTGCCCAGCATCCAAGTGCTCTTGGAAGAAGGCGCAACGCCCGCCTGCTTGAGGGAGACCCCGGGACCAGCATTTGACAGTCATCGGCTTCAGCCCACTGTCTTCTGCAAACTAGCTTGCTGCTCATAAAAGAGCAAGAGGCAAAGCTTGCAGTTGTACAGTCACCTCGCCCTATCTTTGGAGGCAACCTGCAGTACTTGATTGCTCACAGTCTTACCACCTTGTAAGCCCCACACGGGTCACCTTGCCGTCCAGTGCTTGATTGACACAAACCATCAGAATGGGGACTCAGGCATCTAGCCTCGCAGCACCCAGGCCTGGGCTGATGCCTGCCCCGGCTACCTGGAGGAGCAAACCTGGGAAGTGCCTGGGTTACTGCCCCCACCCAGAGGAAACCCAGGTTATAGCCCCAGCTCCTGGCACCAGCCCTGGCCGGCACAGAGAAAATGCATTCTCTCTCTCTCTCCTCACTTTTAAAATAAGCCAATCATGAGAGGCACGCAGTGACACTTGTAACTGTTGCCCGCTTGCCACCGGCAGCCAGACAGCAGAAGGCAAAGCAGACGGCGAAAGGGAGCCTCCTTGCCTCGAAGCTCTGTGCAGGGCAGTAGCTTGTTCTGCTCTGAGGTTTGGCATGATGAAGGAAACCAAGAGAAAGCTGCCTTTCACAGCTTCCTCTCGCCTTGTTCTTCAATCCCTGCTGAAGGGGAGGAGCTGACAGCAACTCGCTGGTTATCGCTAAGGGGCTCCAAGCCGTTTAAGGGATGAGAAGGGGCATTCTAACCTCCTGACTGTCCTTTTTTCAATGTTAATCTTTTTAAAAGAATAACATTGAAAACTAAAAGAACTACAGCATTGCCTATTAAGCTTTGTCGGGCTTTTATAAATATGAAAATTGCAATTTAATGGGCAATTACTGTTCCTACACTTAATGCTACACGCTCGCACACGCCCAAAGAAAGCGCACCGCTCGTTTCCGCGGCTGATGGCTGTTGCGGTCCAGTGTTGATTCTGCTGTAGATTAGGTCGGAGTGGTTACGGCATGCATGACATGTCAGGTGTGTGTCTAGCACTGGCGATGTTTATCACCTTTGTGATCATGCACTTGCACAAAACCGTTCACACACGCGTCCCACGGGGTCCACACACAGGTGCATGCTTGGGACCGTGGAGAACATTTTGGGCGTAGTCAACTGACACCTTTCCGTTATCCACCCAAAGAAGAAAATTTGCTCAAAGTGTGTACTGCTGAGGTCCAGTGAGACACGGGACATGCCCGACCAACAGCCCAGCTTCGCGGATGGGAACGTGTTTTGTGGTCACCGCACACTCTCTGTGCGGTTCCCTCTGGACGGCTCCAGCCACAAAGGCAGGTGCGCAGGGCCAACGCCCAGGGCCCGCGCGTCGTTGTGCGCTCTGACGCTGCAGCCCAGGTGCCAGGGAGCAGACCCCACGTGCCAGGGAGCGGACCCCAGGCCTCCCCTCTGCAGAGACCCCTGAATCGGGAAGGCAAAGGCGTCTGCTGCTCCCTCTCCCCCCTCGTGTTCCGCAGTGCCTCTATCGCACCAAGTAAGTTCTCGGAGAAGTTGCGGCGAGTTTCTGATTTCTTAAAGCCCTTCTGAGTCTATTTTGATGTGTAACTTTTGCTTTCCTTGCGGTTGAAACATAAGTCACTGTTCCTTTTCCAAAGCAATCTAACCTCCCGTCGTCGATTTTGTTTTTTCCCCACAGCATCATTTTGATGCGTAGAGGGGCCTCACTATTTTTAAAACCGAGCCGGCTGACGTCAGGATTCCTGACCTGCGCGCGGCTCCCGCGGTGCCGGAGCCCTGTTCCTTGGCGCCCTCCTCCACATTCCCCTAATCTCTGTGTGTCATCCTGCCACTGTGGCATCACTCGCCGCCCACACGGACCGGGCCCTGGCGAGGTCCGGCACAAAGCAGCGTGCCTCTGTGCTGTCTCTGGAGACGTTAGGCTCTGCCGAGGCAATCTCGGAGACAAAGGGTGATGAAAACAGCCAAGCAACACTTCAGATCAATTACCAGCCGAAAAGAAAACACGCTGAGATGATCCCAGGCGTTGGTGTTTGTGCTGTGGGAGTTAGGGGGGCTAGGAGAGGGCCGTATGAATATGCATCCACTTTCCGCAGACCAGGGTCACTCGGGGTCAGACCAGAGACGTGACAGGGGCTGGGAGCACGGCTCCCATCTCTCCCGGCCTGCAGCTGGGGCATAGCGTGAAGAAGCAATTCCTCCATCTGGACTTCTCTGTGTTGCTTTGTTTATCTTGCTGGAAATGGAAAACACACACACACCTGAAATCGTGCACATTATTTTGACGGTATCAGATGGGTAGTTACACACATGTAATCATTCCTGGGTGGTTTTCATCCATTTAGACCATTTAGCACAGAAGGAGAGAAGTCAGCTTGCTTTGTCTGTCTCAGAAAATCCGTCAGCTTCTAAACCCCGTCTGAAAGGGGCTCCTGGTTCCCCAATGCTGTTACACCTGCCCAGCTGCTACATTGTGTTGTCTCCAGCAAAAGAAAAAATAAAATTCTGCATCCACCCTCCCGGTACATACTTGAGCTGCTTTCCCCACTAAACATTGCCCCTTTTCGGTGGGCTGCGGGGGATGGGGGTGGAGGCCCGCGGGCCCCGCTCAGGTAATCCCTCAGAGTCCAGCTCCGCAATGCCACAATGTGCTGCACCACTCGCAAGTTGAGATCAAATCGCCCGTTTTTCTCTGCATGGCAGCCATTTCCTTCCTGGCTGTTATTCTCTTTGCTAACATTGTATTTTCACATCACTAAAGCAAGGCTTAAAATTCACCCAGAACACCCCCTGGCACCGTGTCTGTCTGTCCCCGCTAGTTGGACCCTGGACAGCTGCTTGCTCCAGGGGTGGTGTTTGCCACACTCCACGTCCCCTGCACGCCCCCCTGGGATGGTACAGCCAACACGCCTCATAATTTCTCATTTCAATGGCTACAAACACATCTGCCCAAGCAACTGCAGCACCATTTGCTTGGCCACTTCTCTTAGATGGGGCGTTTAGGTGACTTCAGATTATTCATTAAAACAAGTCACTCTCCTGCGGGCACGCATACAGCCAGATGGTGGAAATTAATTGGCGCCTCTGTTCTAGCCGGGAGAGACAGAGGTGGAAGTGAGATCCAGGCGACACCATCCAAACTGCTGACGCTGTGAGCTGGTGCTTGTGAAGGCCAGCTGTCCATGGACTTGGCTCCCACGAGCAAGGAAAGTGGCTATGTGGCTGTAGCCGGTTGGCCACAGTATGGCCCCAGCACCTGTAATTCTGAGCCACCATGCTTGAATCGTGAAGGAGTGTCTCCATCCCTACAGACTGACAAGATGGGTATGGCTGTCCCATGCTGCAGGTGGGGACACGGGATCCTGGACAACCGAGCCAAGCACCAGTTACAGAAGAGCTGGGCTGTGGCGTAGCACATTAAACCTCTGCCTGCCCTCGGAGGCTGAGATCGCTGAGGTCGCTCATTTCCTATTGAATTTCCCACACGAGATGGTAGCAGTCCCAAATCTTCTCATAGGGTCTGGTGACATCAAACTACAGCCAGGAGCCCCAGGTGGTACTCAGAGATTAAAGGGTGGTAAATTTCTGGGCTCAGGAGAGGAGCTTTCTCTGGTCCTTATCTAGTCTAAGCCTTGGCTCCCAGGCCTGTCTTACGCCGACTATCAGGGTTGCTTGTGAACCCCAAAACTAGTTCAGACAGAGACTAATACAGGTCAGCTAGTTGAGAATCACGCAGCTTGGACCTCACTGATCAGGCTTCCCATCTGGCTTTTCAGATAGACAGAGACTCATAGATGAAGACATAGGAAGGCTGGAACAGCCAGGGAAAAGGCCAACTAGCCTATCATCGCTCAGCCTGTGCTTACTGGCTCCCTGTTTGCTTCTCCTGGACTTTACTAGGTAGGATGTAGAGTCAAATTCTTCCTCACTCACTGGGTTGTTGGGGATTTCCCTGCTCACCTGCCTAAAACTTTTCTATTCTTCAATTGTTAAAATGGAAAGTTCTGTAAAACCATGCTTAATCACTATATACTGCAAAGTTTGAATTGTGGCTTAATTTTCTCCTCCCCCAGAAAACTATCAATTTATGATTGTTAATGCTAAACAAGATGTAACTGCATAGAAACTTGATGTTAAGTTTGTACTCAGCTGTTATATATGATGGATGTTAATGCTGATCCTCCCACTGTCCCTGTGCCACTCTGATTAAGTTAAACTCAGTAACATGTTAGCTTGGGAGAAAAAAAAATGGTTTATAGCAGCTGGTTGTGTACATACTAAAACTGAGATGCCAAGGAAATAGTTACAGGATGTGGTTAAGAACTTGCATTTTCTAACATGTTGGTCACTCAATACCATGTTAATTAACTTCATAATGTTGTTAATGTCTATGTTTCTTCCTGTTGTTGAAGTTGTATAGTGACATCTTATTGGAGGGGATGATAGCTCTACTTTCAGACCAAGGATGGTCTCCCAATGAAACTGTTAAATTTATCTGGACAATAAGATGCTGGACTCTTCTCATGGTCCATACCCACAATGAAGGAATCATGACTGGATATGATCTATACTACTGTAACAATATGGAGGAATTCAATATGGGGGGAGGGCTTGGAGAGGGGCTGGGGGAATCCCAGAGCCTACGAAACTGTGTCGTAAAATGATATAAAATTAAAAGGGAAAAGAAAGAAAATCTGAAAAAAAAAAAAAAAGCAAAAACAAGGGTGGTACAACAGAAAAAAACAAAACAAACAAAACAAAAAATCCTCTGCCTGCATGCCAGCATTCCATATGGACTCTGCTCCACTTCTGATCCAGCTCCCTGCTTATGACCTGGAAAAACAACAGAGAATGGCCCAAGTCCTCGGGCCCTCGCACCGCTGTGGGAGACCAGGAAACAGCTCCTGGTTTCGGGTCAGCTCAGCTCTGACCACTGTGGCCACTCAGGAAGTGAACCAGTAGATGGAAGTTTTCACTCTCACTCTTTGTGCGATTTTGCATTGCATATGAAAACAAAGTTAGGTCATTTTATTTGAAAGGCAAATTTACAGAGAGAAGGAGAGACAAAGGTCTTCCATCACTGGTTCACTCAATGGCCACAATGGCCAGAGTTGAGCTGATCCAAAGCCAAGAAGCAAGGGCCTCATCTGGGTCGCCCACAAGGGTGCAGGGTCCAAAGCTTTGGCCGTTCTCTACCGCCTTCCCAGGCCATAAGTAGCAGAGCAGCCAGGACATGAACCAGTGCCCATAAGGGATGCCAATGCTTGCTGGTGGAAAAGTAGCCAACTGGACCATCGTATCACGCCCCCCGCAAGGCCACTCTTTTTCCAAAGGACATTTATAATGGCTTGCTACCATTGTAAATGGTATGCTATGCTTGCATGTCCATTCTGCTCAGCGTCTTCTAGGAGTTGTAATTGGACCTACAGTCTCTAGGACACAGCACCGGCTCTCCACTTCATCAACAAGTCCTTGGCAGGCCAGAGTTGTGGCACAGTAGGCTAACTCAGCCTGCCATGCCAGCACCCCATACAGGAGTCAATCAAGTCCCACTGCTCCACTTCCCTTTCAGCTCCCTGCTAATGCGTCTGGGAATGCAGAAGAGGATGGCTAAGTCCCTGGGACCCTGCACTCGTGGGAGACAAAGAGGAAGCTCCTGGCTTTGAGTCAGCTCAAGCGTCAGCCATTGCAGTCATTCCATGGGAGATCTCTCTGTGTCTCTCCTCTCTGTAATTCTACCCTTCAAATAAAAATAAAACGAATCTTGTTAAAAAGAGTTCCTTAGCAATCTCCAGTAGATTTTTCACTGTTTTACACGTATCCATCACTTGTTAGGCTTATTTCTAAGGCCTGCATGCCTCTTTGTCATATACAGGAGTGCACTGGTTCTGGACCTTCCTTCCATAACCAGCAATTTGCAGCAAGCCCAGTGATATTCTTTTCATCTGCATTATGAATATTTTGTCTCTATGGGCCCAGTACATCTTCTTCTGTCTCAATTTTGCTTTTGTTCTAGCAAACAGGTGTCCAAAAAGCAGCATTAAGTCAAAGCACCATCCTAATTTAATTCCAATTTTAAAGAAATATCTTGGGGGCTATTCCCTGACTATAATGTCTCATGATTATATATATCTATTATATATTATTCTACTAGGAAATTATGCTTCTAATTCTTTCCTTTAAGAATATGCATGTCAGATCCCAGCACAATGGTTCAGTGGTTAAATCCTTGCCTTGCACCCATCAGAATCCCATATTGGTGCTGGTTTGTGTCCTGACTGCTCCACTTCCCATTCAGCTCCCTGCTGATGGCCTGGGAACGCAAGATAGAGTAGTTCAAGTTTCTGGACCCCTGTGCCCACCTCAAGACCCAGAAGTTCCTGGCTCCTGGCTTTGGATCAGTCCAGCTCCAGCCATTGCAGTAACTGGGGAGTGAGCCAGCCAATGGAAGATCTGTCTATTTCTCCTCATCGTTGTAAATCTGTCTTTCCAACAAAATAATAAAGATGACGGTGATGACAGTGACTTTTCACCTCCTCAGCGTTTGTATCGCCTCTTTAATTTCCAATTTACGTATTTCTTCACGTTATCTAGATAAGGTCTATCATAGGCTGTTCTGTTATTCAAACACCAAGAAATTCACTCTTGATTTTTTTGTATTACTTATTTACTTTTTTTTTCTTTCTAAATTATAGTATTATCTTTTTGTTTTTCTTATTATGCTTTTTTCATCTCAAAGATGTTAAACAGAATAATTAATTTAGCTTTTCTTTTTTATCTTAGTGATGAACACTCAAAGTTCTCATTGACTTTCTAAGTGTTAACTTTGATAGATTTTGTGACTTATTATATTATTTTCTAAATTGTGTTTCCTCAGGTCTGGATTTCCTCATTGTCCCTGAAAATCAGAGCAGTTTGCAATTGTTTGTTTATTCTTCAGACTTTTAATTCCAAATTTTAGTCTTAGTTTGGTAGAATGAGGCCTATAAAATTGTCAGTGAAATTCATCCATTTAATTTTAGGTAAACTAGCAAGTGACAAGATTAGTGAATGTCCTTTAAATAATGCTAAAGTAAATATAGCTGATTTTATAGACCACAGGATCCTGTCTATTTTACCTGTTAGGGCTTGTAAGAAATGTAATATTATTTTATTCCTGAAATGTTGTTAGTTTCTGCTTGAAGCTCCTAAATTCTTTGCTTTGTGTGTTCTGTTGCTATGTTATTTGGCACATATAAATTCATAATTATTTTATGTTCGGCATATAATGTATTTATCTTTTTGTAACCATTCATTTATTTCATTTTGTATGCTTAATCGCTCCCAATGCCTGCTGCCAGTGCTCTGAATGGAGGCTGTTTGTGTGACTTTGGTAAGAACAGAATTCAGGAAAAGCACAATGCTAGGACATCTTCTCGAAACACTTGGCACTTTGCTTTTCCATGGGTGTCTCACATTGTTCTTTTATTTTCCTGTCAGCCCAGTTTATTCAACAAGCTGTTTTTAAACTTTTGCTTGAATTGTATCCACCTGGGTAACCGTTCATGGTTGAAGCCCCGTCACAGTGCTTTTGAAGGCCTTGAGCAGGAGAGAATGTTGGGCAGCCCTGGTATTCATCACTGCAGGAGAACACAGCATCATGGTGAAATTTAAACACCCCCAAGTTTCTGAATTCTCCCCTATACAAACCATCTCTATTTTCCTGTTCAGGGGCGTCTTCTGGAATTCAACAGCTGTTGTTTTTTACCCTGAAATGTCGATTCCCATCTTATACATTTTAATTCTAAGGGTTTTTACTAAACACTTTTTTAGCTATTTTCTTCCATTTTTAAATATGCTGATCAAGTTTCTTTATAAACCAAAATACCATATACAAACTTCATTTCATCTTCCCACAATGCCTGTATCCGGTTTTCTGTCATTTTTGCGATTTCAATAAACTGTAGAATTTTTATTAGTTCTGCTTCATGAAAAACCTGAGAAAATAATGTTCCAAAAGCCAGATTCTTCCTTTTAATGAACACTTCATCAAACATCCTTTTGTAAAGGTCACTTACTATTGGTCCAATGGTAATACTGGTACTCACGTGGACTATGGGAACATCATCTCCATTTTGGTCTAGTTCTTTCTCACCTGTTCTGATGGGATAATGTGTCATGCGTAAGTGATAAGCAAAATTTAAACTTTTCCCTATGCAGCACTAATTTCTCAAAAAGTCACACTTCTAACACACCCTCTACTGTCTGAAGCCCAAATAAGGCTTTTTAAAAAAGTATTTCTGATATATCATAAAAGTCAATTGAGCAGGCTCCTCACAAGGGGTCTTGACTAATTTTCTTCCCAAGAAACGATGCAGGATTTTTCTCAGCTGTCGCGCTCCACCACAGATCCCCAACACGGGCACTAAGCCAGAAGGCACCTTCTACGTTCTCCAGAAGGCACTTAGCGGGCTCCTCACGGGAGCTGGGAAGGTGCGAAGACGGCCAGCGTGGAACCCCTGCACCTCACAGTCTTGGTTCAGGGGTAGACCGTTAGGCAGTGCTTCTGCGCCTCATCCTTCCAGCTTCCGTCTCGCCGCCATCAGTCAGCCTGGAGCACTGCCAGTGGACCTCCCCACCCTTTCCGCCCTCAAACCTCCCATAGCACTCCCCTGCCTCACCCTAAAATACCCATGCCTCTTCATGATCCAATCTGCACATCTTTCGAACATGTAAAGGTTTTCCAGGTTGACATAATTACAGATAACCCTAGGCTGTTGAGTAGAATCCCTCATCAGGAATCCCAAGGACACACACGTGTGTTTAAGTCTCTTCATAAGAACTGCTAATTCCTCTTCAAAAAGATCCCGCAATTGATGCTTCCATTAGAAGTATACAAAGTACCTGCTTCACTTTACACTCACCAGCTCAGACCAAGAGCTGCATTTTGATTTGCTAATTTGACAGGATAAAAATGGTACTTTGTTTTATTTTGCCGTTATTTCATCAATGACGTAGAGAAGTTTGTCACACAGCCTTATAACTACTGATCATGGCACCTTCATTCTTTTAATGAGTAACAGGTTTTCATGGTTTGTGTGAGTTTTTTACATATCAGGAGAATTAACAAACGAAACATCATATTTGTGGTAGATATTTTCAAACTATTGCTTCATGTAACTCTTTTGATGTCACTACCTAAATTTGCAACTGTATCTTATGTATTCAGTTGAATTGGTTGCAATAATTGGATTTTTAGTTTTTATCGCTTCAGTGAGTCGAGGATTTGATTTGCATAATTCCACACCATCTCTTCTCCCAGGGCCGTCCTTCCCACTCAGGCCTGCTGTGCCGACTGAGCAAGTACCACGCTGGTGCACACAGCAAGGCCAGCGGGGAGGCATCCCTCTCACGCCACCCATTTTGGCCCAAGGTCACGGTGTTGACCAATGTGCTTGTGTTATATATTTGTGATAGCTGGTAGCTCAAAACCTCTTGTTTTTGCAAAACTTCCTTGGCCATCCTTATCTCTTAATCCTTTTGTATTGACATTTGAATCCGCTGTCAAGGTCCAAAAGCATCCTATTGGGATTTTGGTTGGGATTTCATTAAATTAATTTTAGGAGAATTAATAACGTCAGAACGTTGACTCTCCCCTCCCAGGAGCGTAATATCTCTTTTTTCATTTACATTTCCCGTTGTGTTTATCTGAAAATGTTATGATTCTCTTCATTACACATCTCTTGTTCAGATATTTTCCCTGGATATTTTGTATTTTGAGTTATTTTGAATTTAAATTTTCCACAATTGTTTATGTTACCATTTACTGAAAGAAAGCTATTGACTTCCGTGTATCCCTCAGTTAATTTTGGGAAAAAAGGAAAATGAGAAGAATTTATCTGGCTTTTCAAACAAATCACGATAACCGAAGAATACTGTCACTAGACATGCAGCTGCACCACGTGCTGACTGTGTTCAGAAGACTCGGCTGGTGCACAAGCTCAAGCACTTTGAGCCTCCCACTTGTCTGAAGGAACGAGAAACTTCTTCAGACAAACCAACAAACCAGAAAAAGGAAGACGGCGCTGCGGCTACACTCTGAAGATCCTCCAGCCCAGAGTCTAGCACCTCCATTTCCTCCCATCCGCTAGCTGGCCCAAGTGATGGAAGCAAGGGTGCCTGTGTCCCTGAGTTTCCATGGCGATACACCCAACCTGGAAGTACCCATAGCCACAGCCAGCATTGTTTAGGGGAACACACAGTCCACACAGGGGATGATTCCTGTTAGAGTTGCTGCTCTACTCCGCTATCTTGTTAAGAAAATGCCTTGCTTGACTCTTCCCCAGCGTGACAGCCCACGCCTCTGTCAAATATCTCTTTGATGATAAACGGAAGAAGGGGTAGTGTGAACACAGGTGCACTTTTGACATGAAACAAAGTTGGAGCACACAAACAAAGCAGCAGGCAGGGGCCGGCTGGCTATTTTCTAATCAGTCATCCAGGCACTTTCTCTAACAGGGTTGCGCACTGATTTGCCAAGGACAGCCCAGGCAGACACCTGCTCTCTCCAGCCAAGGCCCCTGCAGCTAGCGGGAGGCGCTGCTCAGCGTGGACGCCTGCCCGTCCTCTGTCCATTCTCCCAGGTTATTTCTGACTTTGGGATCTTCCAGTTGTGCCGTGCAAGTGGGAATTCTGATACCTGCCCAGCTTCTCGCACTCTCCACACTCCTGTGGATCTCGTTGGCGCGTAAGGTCATCTCTCACGCGAACGCCTAGCTTACTGTCTGTTGATTCTTCTACTCGCTAAGCAAAGAAGTTTTGCAGCACCTGCTAGGTCTCCGGGACTGTGCACGGGCAGACACTGAGGACACGCCCTGACCATCTGTCAGGACATGGTGACCCAGTGTCCTCTCTGTCCCCGTGCTGTTTCTCACCAGAACTCAGACAATCACATCTCTGGACTGTGGATCCTTCTGAAAGCACATGTGGATTGCAACACAGCCTAGGAAGCTGTCATTCTAGGTGTCCTTCATACTTCCTGGGGAGAAATCTCCTAACAGATTCCCGACAGCACTGAGGAGCACCTACAGGGGACAAGAGCTTCCTTCTTTCTGGTGGTGGGGAAGCATGAGTAAAGCCCCACAGGACACACTTCTTTGGCTGGTTCTGCCTGGGAGGAGGGAAAAAGACTGGAGAATGGAAACGACAGCTCTGTGTCTTCAAGGTTTCCAGCGAGACACACGTGTAAGGCTGAACTTACACATTAACAGGGAGGCTGGCCCAACTGAGCTCTGGCCTCCACCTGGAAACCAATCATTCAGTTTAGTCCTTCTTTCCTTAAAATAGCAGAATCAAAGAGTTTGATCTTGAGCAGTAGGCTTCTTGGTGATCAGCGGAGAGCCACCTGCTGGGCCCAGAGACAGCTGCTGTGTAGCACGGACTACAGACTGCCGGAAGCAGAGAGCAGCCCCCATTGGGGCCACACTCAGGAACCTTCTGCCCTCAGAACTAAGGTTCTCATAGTCTCTTCCAGTATCACAGTGACCCATTCTGAGAGTCATTAATAAAACCATGTGGATATCAGGGTTTCTTTCTTTCCTTTTTTTTAAGATTCACTTTATTTTTATTGGAAAGGCATATTTACAGAGAGCAGATATAGAAAGATCTTCCGTCCACTGGTTCACTCTCCAAGCGGCCACAACGGCTGGAGCTGAGCCAATCTGAAGTCATGAGCCAGGAACTTCTTTCTGGTCTCCCATGAGAGTGCAGGGACCCAGGCCACAAACAGGGAGCTGGAAAGGAAGAAGAGCAACTGGGATACTAACCAGTACCCATATGGGATCCTGGAAATTGTAAGGCAAGGATTTAGCTACTGAGCCACCACACCGGGCCCTATCAGAGGGCTTCTAAGATGACATCAGGTGGATAGGCCCAACCCTGGATACTGATGCAGTTTGGCAGCTGGGAGCAACCTCCCTCCCTTTCTTTCTTTCCCCCTCCTCCCCAGCCCTTCCCCTTAAACCTAGATTCAGGAGAAAAAGGCAAGAAAAGGAAAATTGGAAGCATTTGTCCCACCCACCTTCAGCCATACCTCGACCCTCCCTGCGCTAAGCAGTGGTCTTCATGGAATGCATCCTTGTAAACTATGTAA